AAAAGCCCGTTATGTTTGGTAAGTTTTTAATGATCGCTCTTTTTGTTTCGTTAAAGATCTTAAATAATAATAAACGAGGCATAATAGCCATCAATATTAACTAACTACTTTGAAACTGCGAATTTCATTTTGATATTGATAGAAGCGTAAAGAAAATTTTCGTATGATTACAAGTTGTACTATAATAAATTCAAGGTTTTTTTTTTAAATCTCGCACAAATTCTTATTTAGCGTAAACATAACACAGCATGATCTGCATTTAATATAACGTGTGGTCATAGCGTCTGATCACAAGTTTGTTCAGCCGAGAACGCTCCTTTTTGAGAGTTCCCGTTTGTTTTATTTTTCAAGAATCAAAATTGAGTAATTGTAATTTAAGCTTAAAATATAGATAATACGAATATTTCCTTTTTTAATTATTCATATTGTCGTACTGAACAACACCAATGAACTGGCTTAATACCTTCCTATATGCACCCCTCCAACCTTAGTATATTTGTGACTTTTCCCCCATAAATTGATCTGCAAAATTTATAGTTACATAAAATTTATCCCCTGATCGATTGTACTTATCCTTACTGGGTTATTAACCAATTTTATGATTGCATTTTATGGGAATTATATTTTAGACAGTTTTTATTCTTTACTATAACAATTATCAATATTTTCCTCTAGCTTTGCATTATTATTTTCTTGTTCCAAATTAGTTGAACATTCTATTAATAAGAATTATATGCTAAAGATATGCTAAGATACAAAACGTTGGTTTCGAAATTTCTGATATTTATGATTGAAATAAAAATTTATTATAAACATTTTGTTAATTTCGCATTGTCATCATTTCAAATTAATATAATCAAATCCTAAAATAATCCAATTTCTTTTAACACTCCAGATAGAAGAATATCTTGGCATGTAAATCTGGCCGCGCATAATTTACAAATTCTTCAAATTCTTCAAATTATGAATTATAAGCTTTTGCTGTAGATAACATGTATTTGGTCTATTTGATCTTTATAAAGAAATACATTGATTGGAAATTTACTAATTAAGAAAGGTTTTTTTTTTTTACAAAATGTCTTAAATTCATAATATTGGTTTCTAAATGATTTTAAAATGGAAACGAAATTTGGTAAGTAATAAAATTTATTCCCCCGGGGATAAGTAATACACATTAATTAAACTTGTTACAAAAAAGTTTCTTTTATTTTCTTTTTATTAAAAAAAAAAAAATTATGAGCATTTCATTTCGTTAAAAGCCATGAATTTCAAAGTAATTTTTCTTCACCAATTGAAGAAAGACCAATTCAATGATAATTTCAAAAGTATTGGATAATGGGTTAAGTGAAGTGATTGAATTTCATTTATAAAGGCGAGAAATCAATAAGAATTCGTTTATTTTGAGATTTACTTGTTTAAAAAAAAGCCTTTAGTTTTTATAAATGCGTTTTTATTAATAAATTATTCGGGTTTCGTAATAACTTTCCCCAATTATTGAAAATTGCTTTATTTGGTTATCCTTGGTATGATCGTTTGATCGGTTGCTCAAAAAATTTTCCCGTAAAAAAAAAAAAAATCCGAAAACTGTACTAAATTTTTGTTATAATGTTACACATCAGATAACATAATACAACGTATCTTAATCAAATCGCTTATGAAATCAAAATATAAATTAAATAAACTTGAGAGATTTTCTTTAGTTTTGGAAGACCTAATTTATTCATTGTTAAAATAGTAAACATTCAATTTTAAAGGGCAGAAAATTGAAGATAGCAAGTTTACCAGAAAATGTACAAGACAAATCCTACAAATCGAAGACTAATTCATGGAGGATGAATGATACTGGATGTTGCGTAAGTGACAATTTTGGAAAATCACCTCAGGAATAAAATTTTGATATAAATAATTTTTATATTTAAAGGAACGTGGTTATTAGATTTATGAGGATTCCGATTTTTTTAGACTTGATATTCAGGCAATATATCCGCAAGAGGTAAAGATTGTTGATGAAAAAAAACAATTATATAAAATTATAAAATACTAAGAATTAGGTTCTAAAATTAAATTTTTAACAGATAAAACTCCGAATTTAAATTTTATCGAAGCAGATATATAGGATGGATTACCATTTCCTGATAATGAATTTGATCATGTGCACCAAATGGGATTTTTGTTTTACCTGAGCTCGTTAGGTATAAACATAATACATGTACCTAATACTAACTCATACATTAAAATATACTTTTTAAAACAAAATAACGACGTAAAAGTAATATATGAACATGATTCATTGCTTGAATCACAACCAAACATAACAAAAGTTCATCGAGATGAAAGAGAGATTATTGTAGAACCCAATGGTGGTAAGATTGGAATTGCTTGTCAAGAAAATTTGATAGCATTTTAGTTCAGAGAGGACGATTAAAATTTTAAGTTCTGAAATAGGAATCACTAAAGAGGAATATCAAAGGATGATAGGAAATGAACTTACAAATGGATTAAAGAAACCAGATCCGAATTTATTAATTTTAGATTATGGGCTCAAAAAACGTAAAATTATTTTATTCGTCTTTTTAATAAATAATTTTAACGTACTTTTCCTATTATTAGTTTACCATATTGCTTATAATAATGCTGATTTTTTATTTTTGTAAAATCATGTCATGGGTAAAAAACTATATTGGTTGACAAATTTTTGTTGATCATGAATAGCATAACATAAAATTATAAAACCAGTTAGGTTCGGAATTAACATTTATGAGAATTTCCTAAAAAAAAAAAAAATTTACGGTTTGTATATTTTTTTCCCTTTCCATTTTTCCATTTTTTTTTTTTGAGAAAAAAAATATATTATAGCCATTTCCAACCATGGGTAATTATAATACACGTTTAAAGGGTAGAAACTTAAAAATACAAAGTATATCACAGAATATTATACAGACAAAATCCATCGATGAGAACCTGCCGAACGTGAACCGTAATTTAGCGAGCGATATTGATTACGTTGAAAACTTATATCTATTTCATTTTGTTAAGAGGAATTTATATCAAAGTTCTTTTTCTTCACCGGTTGAAGAAAAAATAATTCAAGGAGGATGTAAAGTATTGGATGTTGCGTAAGTGAAAAGGTTCGAATTAACAAATTTGAAAACCCGACACATGAATATATTTTTGATATAAATAAAATTTACATTTTAAGATGCGGGTCTGGAACATGGTTATTGGATTTATCAACTAAATATGAGAATTCCGATTTTTTTGGACTTGATTTTCAGGCAATCTATCCGCAAGAGGTAAAGATTGTCGATAAAAAAAACGAAATATAAAATACTCGTTCTAAAAATAAATTTTTTAATAGATAAAACCTCCGAATTTAAATTTTATCGAAGCAGATATATTGGATGGATTACCATTCCCTGATAATATATTTGATTTTGTACATCAAGATAACATGATTAGTATCTTACAAAGAACTCAATGGGAATTCGTTTTATCTGAGCTCATTAGGTAAGTTTATATTGTAGTACATGTATGTATTTTGCTTTAATTTTATCATTGTAACTTTTACTTTTATAGAGTAACTAAACCAGGTGGATATATTGAAATATCTGAAACAATTCAAACGTTTAATGGCTTTGGACCAATCATGCAGAAAATTTTTAACATTTGTAAGTGTCGGTTTTTGTGCCTTTCAGGTTCATTTCCGAAAAACGTTTACGTGTATTAAAATATCAAAATTATATAAATATAGTATATTCTTCCCTCTTAAAACAAGATGTGGACGTAAAAGTAATATATGATCTTGAATCAATGCTTGAATCACAACCAAACATAACAAAAGTTCATCGAGATGAAAGAGAGATTATTATGGGACCTAATGGTGGAAAAATTGGAATAGCTTGTCAAGAGACATTTGAATCGTTTTATAATACAAAGATGACGATTGAAATTTTAAGTTCCGAAACAGGAATCTCGAAAGAAGAATATAAAAGGATGATGGGAGATATCACAAATGAATTAAAAGAAACCAGACCCGAATTTATTAATTTTAGATTATGGGCTCAAAAAATGTAAACATATAAAATTTTATTTAATGTACTTATTTAACCATATTGCTTATCAATTGAAATCAACTGTTTACTTTTTTTTTTTTTTTCAAAAAAATAAAATTAATCATGTGAAAATGCTTTTGAAAAATTTTGTTTATTCTCTCCCAAGCAATAAAAGGTTCGTTATTTAAAAATAGAACGCCGATTTTTAATTTAATCATGATTATAGAAAGCCTCTTTTTTTTTTTTAGTAGAAAATATTTTAATTTTACGATTATATTTGCAATTCTAGATCTATTTAACGAAACAACTCAACGAATTTACATGATTAACTAAGTCTACAGTATATAAACAAAAAATCGAGCAAATTGGTAAAAAAATGATTACACGAATTATTTGTATATTAATAAGGTAATTTCTTTTTTTTTTTTTTTAGAATCAAAATAGCAATAAGTAATTCAGTAACAAATTAAAAAACGTGTAAATAACATCCGATATTTGTAAGTGGACGGGATCAAGTCATTTTTAACAATTTGTAAAATGAAAACCTGAAATATGGTTATTATATTGAGAATTTTCAACAAAAATAAATTATGGATTAATATACAAAAGGCTTGGTTTGTGATGTTACATTCTTTAGATTGTTTTTGTTTAGATAAATTTGATTTAGAAAACATAGCCTGATGAAATTGCAGCTACTATGCCTAATAATCCATTCTTTTGCATAGATAATTTATTATTAATACATTTAACTTTTTTGGCTAGTAAAATTAATCAATATTGTCGAACATAAAAGTAATTTAAATCGGAATTTTGATTACAATGATCTACATATTTAAACTCCTCGTGGAAACGATTTGGTCATTTTACCTCACAAATCGATTACATAACGTAACATACATTAAATATAATGCTAAGTTTACTAATTAATAATTCTTACTTAATATCGCTCTAAAATTGTTACAACCAATAACTTAAAATTATAAACAGTTACACATCACATATATGGAAAATAAAAACTACCGAACCTCAGTTTCTTATAAAAGAATTCCGGTTTAAATCCATAGACACGTTTCCTTTCTCTTCTAAATTTTTTTTTTTATTTATTTATTTATTTTTTTTTTTTGAAGAAAAAGAATGTTATGATTCCATTTGTCCATAATTAAATTGGTATCTTCAATTATGGGTATTAATAATTCACGCTTAAAGGGTAGGAAATTCAAGATACCAAGTATACCAGAGAATGTGCAGACAAAATCCATCGATGAGAAACTGCCGGACGTGAACCGTTATTTAGCGAGCGATATTGATTACGTTGAAAATGTACATGCATTTCATTTTGTTAAGAGACATTTATTTCAAAGTAATTTTTCTTCGCCAATTGAAGAAAAAATAATTCAAGGAGGATGTAATGTATTGGATGTTGCGTAAGTGAAGGAATAGAATTAACAAATTTTAGAAACCATCACATAATAAAATTTTTGATATAAATAATATCACAATTTAAGATGCGGTTCTGGAACTTGGCTATTAGATTTATCATCTAATTATGAGGATTCTCACTTTTTTGGACTTGATTTTCAGGCAATCTATCCGCAAGAGGTAAAAAATATTTATCGATAAAATCCATTCTATAAATATAGATAGGTAAGGGAATTAACATTTAAAAAAATAAATTTAAATAGATAAAACCACCAAATTTAAATTTTATCGAAGCAGATATATTGGATGGATTACCATTCCCCGATAATGAATTTGATTTTGTGCATCAAGATACAATGACTAGAATTTTACAAAAAAATCAATGGGAATTCATTTTATCTGAGCTCATTAGGTAAGTTTATATTGTAGATTTTGCTTTTATTTTATCATTGTAACCTTTTACTTTTATAGGGTAACTAAACCAGGTGGATATATTGAAATATCTGAACCAATTCAAACGTTTAATGGCTATGGACAAATCATGCAGAAATTGTTTAACAGTTGTAAGTGTCGTTTTTGCGATAAACTTTCCACTTGCTTATTATTGAAAGTTTATGTGTACTAAAATATCATATAAAATTATATATATTTAAATATAGTATTTTCGTACCTATTAAAACAAAATGTGGACGTAAATGTAATATATGATCTTGAATCAATGCTTGAATCACAACCAAACATAACAAAAGTTCATCGAGATGAAAGAAAGTATATTATAGGACCCAATGGTGGTAAAATTGGGATAGCTTGTCAAGAGGCATTGGTAACGTTTGGTAGTACAGAGATGACGATTGAAATTTTAAGTTCCGAAATAGGAGTCTCTAAAGAAGAATATAAAAGGATGATAGGAAATGGACTTACAGATGAGTTAAAAGAAACCAGACCTGAGCTTATTAATTTTAGATTATGGGCTCAAAAAACGTAAAATTATTTTGATTCGCTCCTTAATAAAATATTTTGTAACGTACTGTACTTCTTATTGGTAGCGGTCGGGTTAAAGGCCTTTGACCCGACCGGTTGACCGATCGATTTTTAGACCGGTTAATAGTAATATATTAAACAGTACAGTTTTTGACTTATTAGAAAGCTTTTATTTGACCACTATTATAGTTTTAATTCTTGTTTTACAATGTTAGCATAGCACTTTTAAAACTTTTTTATATAAAATAAATTTTTTGTTTTGATAGTCATTAAGTATATAAGTGGCGCAGCATTATCGCGGACTTTATTTAAATTCGCGTTAAAATAAATTTATTTAAATCACGTGAAATATCTCGGTCAAATTAAAATTCAACACGATCAATTTTTCATCACGCTTTTTTATCTCTTCATACCCTTTTTTTCAAACGTTACCTTCTCTTTTCGTAATAAATTCTACCTCTCTTTTCTCAAACTGTTTCAAAAGCTTTTTATAAACACATTGTGCTACTCTTTTTAATGGAAACTAATTGCGCCTTTTAACCGAACTTAAATGAATTTGTTGAAATTTTCGACGAGTATGATGGTGAAGATGACCATACAGATGAAGAAAGCCAAGGAAAATGCTTAGAATAATACAGGAATGGATATGCATCTGTCTTTGGCTTATTAATCGTGGCATTGTATGTAAACATGTTTTTTCGAGTTATGTCTTATTCAAAAAATTCCCGATATTACATTCATCCCACAACGCTGGTACAATGATAAGAAATCTCAACAAGAATATAATTTTATGCCTGCATATACAATGGGAAGAACAGTTTCAAATTCAACAATCAACATTTCAATATCTTAGAAAAATTCGAAAAATTGCCTTATGTTTTGCGATTGCAAAATCTGAAGCAAAAATTTGGATTTGGTATGTTATGTCAAAAAAGCACTTAATTATACAATTCGGGCAGATAAAGTAAATGAATTCATCGATCAAATGCAACATTTTATTGAAACAACAAAAGAACTCTCTACTCAAACAAGAAAATATTGATCATATGATTGTTACATGTACAACATAAAGGGCAAAAACCTATCAGGAGGGGGTTTCCGCCAAAACAGAGAACACGCACTATGCTAGATATTAGTTACACGATCATTCAGGATTGGAAGATAGCAACAGCTCATTGATTCAAGATTTTTAAAGATAGGTCAGACACTGTCAAAAGTGTAAACAACCTGGTCATTATGCTCAACGTTCTCCAAATGTTTGATAGTATTTTATTGTGATTTTTTTTATTGCACTTTGCGAATTATGAAATAAAATGTATTCATGTATTATAATGTAATTAATTAATGAAATTAATCAATCAATCAAAATTCAATTTTTTATTTTATTTATATAATATGGGTGAAATCACCTGGGTGATTTCACCCGGGGGACAAGTTTTTTTTTATTACTAATTAAATCATGGTTGTTCTCAAAATCAGTCGGTCAACTGGTCGGTCAGAGGCCTTTGACCGACCGATATCGATCACGGTCATGACCGTGACGATTAGAAATCCCTACTTTTATAATTCATTTACTATATTAGGTATATCAACTGACTTTTATTAAAAATAAAAAGTGTACAAAACTTCTTTTGAAAAACGTTTTTAGGTTTACTTAATACAATAAATTCTCTTTATATGCAAAATTTATCATAAAAACGCTGATTTTTAATTTTTGTATAACAAATAAAAGACATGCCAGCCCACCTCTTGGTAGTAAATATAACTACAGCATAAGTTACAACATTTCTGCATACGAATATGAATTTAAGATGGCAACCAAGAATTCTAGATGACAAATTAAATTTCAAATGATTAACTTTTAATAATGAATTTAAAGATATGCATGATTAAGTAATCGTAAAAAATAAATAAAATAAGTAAAAAATAAAAAAAAATTTGTATATATTAAATAATTTCCTTTTTTCTTTTAAAAATCAAAAAATTTTTTATTTAATTAGTCTTTTTGATATTAACATTTTCATAGAAAACTTTATGTGATGGGTAATAACAATTCGAATGATAATAAACCAGAAATCGTGCAAAAAAAATTCGAAGAAGAGGAACGTTATTTGGCAAGCGACGTTGACTTTGTTGGTAAAAATTATTCATATCATTTTATAAAAAGTCATTTATTTCAAAGTAATTTTTCCGCACCGATCGAGGACAGACTAATTCAAGGAGGATGTAAAGTACTTGATGTTGCGTAAGTGGATCAAATTAACAATTTTGGAAAAATCATCTCATGAATAATATTTTTGATACAAATAAATTTCCATTTTAAGATGTGGTTCTGGAACATGGTTATTAGATTTATCAACTAATTATGAGAATTCTCACTTTTCGGGACTTGATTTTCAAGCGATATATCCACAAGAGGTAAAAAGATTGTCGATAAACAACAATTATATAAATATATAAAAATACTAAGAAGTAACATTCTAAGATAAATTTTTTAATAGATAAAACCTCCGAATTTAGATTTTATCAAAGCAGATATATTGGATGGATTACCATTCCCTGATAATGAATTTGACTTTGTACATCAAGATACATTGACATATGATTTACAAAGAAATCAATGGGATTTTGTTTTGTCTGAGCTTATTAGGTCTTATAATATTTAATCTTATTTTAATTATTTTATTTGAGATTTTTTGCAGCTAAACGAAATTATTATTATTATTATTTTATTTATAGAATAACCAAACCAGGTGGTTTCATTGAAATTACCGAATTGTATTTTTCGTATAGCGATTTAGGTCCAATTCTTTACAAATTACTTAATGGATGTAAGTTTATTTATCTTATTCAATTACGTAAAATAAACCTTTTCGCTTCATAGTAAAGCTAATTTTTACATTTTTTTATGAAACAAATAAATAATAGTGCGCATGCATCTCAAAAAACAAATGGTGGATACGGATGTGATGTATGATCTTGAGCCAATGCTTAAATCACAACCACACATAACGCAAGTTCATCGAGATGAAAGAGAGATTATTATGGGTCCTCATGGCGGTAAACTTGGTTTGGCTTTGCAAGAAGTATATGAAATATTTTCTAGCACAGAAAAGACAATTGAAATTATAAGTTCTGAAATGGAAGTTTCTAAAGAAGAATATAAACAAATGATAGGAAAAAAACTTACAAAAGAAATTAGTGAAATTGGGCCAAAGTTTTATATTTTTAGACTATGGACTCAAAAAGTAATTAATTGATTACGCCCCAACTGCATGCATTAAAAATTCATTTCCATTTTTATATCATGATTTCTTTGTGATTCATAAATTTATGACTCGACATGTTTTAAATCTAGGAAAAATGAGATAATAACAAGAATCATAACCGAGATGATTTGTAAAATTAGATGTTGATAAAATGATTTAATTTGTTAAGATATTTTGTATTACTGAAATTTAGTTCCTTCGGTCATTGAATAGAATTCCGTTACACTACAATCGAACATAGGATTTTATATAATATTGAGTGGTTCTTTCTTCAAAAACAAAAAAAAATAATGTCATATTCCCATAAATGGTAATCGGATATGTTTTATTGCTATGTATTAGAAATTATAATAATATTACTAATTTCTGTGGCACTTTTTTTACAATAAACATGCTGAATACAAATGGCATTATCTTGTGATTAAGAAGGCGCAGTGTCATATTAATTATTTATGACTCATCATAGCTAAGTCTATTCAATTGTTATATAGTGATGAGATAAATATTTACTTTTAATCAATTAGTCAATCCTTTTCTTTCTGATCGTTTTTTTATTAAATTTTTTTTAAAAAAAATCAAAAATCAATCCAATTATATTAAAACTTTGGTAAATAATTATTTACCATTTTGTATAGCTACCATTAGCTCTAATTACATCATTTATATGAGTTGGCATAGTATCAACCAACTTTTTGCATAAATCGGATCCCAATTCAACCCAAATTTTTTGAATTGCATCCTATAACTGATCCTGTATTTAACAGGTTTTTCAAGCCACCTTAGACAATGATCCATTTCATTTTAAAGGTATTCTATGGGATTTAAGTCAGAGAATTGTACTGGCTAATCAAGAATTTTAATCCCATTATCTTCAAACCATTGCTTTGTAAAACATGCAATATGTTTAGGATCATTATCCTGTTGAAAAATAATATTATGCAATAGTTTCTAATAGATTTTCCTTTAAAATTTGATGATATAAATCACCATTCATATGTCCCAGTTAAACTAATCTAATAATAGAAATATATTAGTACAGTATAAAATTATTAAATTGATTGAGGAGAATGCTTAATAATAATTTAATTTGAAGCATTCAAAAATTGTTGAAGTTATAAAATTTTCTAAAATTAAGAAATACCGTTAAAAAATTGATGACAAATTTGTTTTTTCTTTTGAATAAAGAATGAATAGGGCTAAAAAACAGTTACATTCTTTCTTTAAAAGTGAAATAAGTTGTATTCTATATTCAAAAAGAGGCAAAGTCCATGTTGATAATGTAGGAAACTTGCTTATACAAAGGGATTTAAACTTCATAAGGTTGATAAAATATCAGATGTTCTGTTTTATCTGTTCTTTAACATATTTAGTAGATTTTTTACTATTTATCTAGATGTTAAGAAACTAATTAAGCCTATTTTAAGTGAAATATTAATATTAGTAAAAATTAAATTTAAGGTTAATTGATAGATCTATAAACTTTTTTATAATAAGTAATTTTAACTTATCTTTATTTAAGGCTGATCTAGTAAAGTTGTAAAATTATTTAACTATAACTAGTATATATTCAAGATCTCATTTAAAACTAATCTAGTTAGTATTATTTATATAAGTGAGCAAAAAAACTTCTGCAATTATAGTGTTTAATGTTATTGAAGTAAGATTAATGATCTAAAAATGTTTAATTTAAGGTCAGCCATCTCATATAAGAGTAAGTCTAGATATATATATCAGAAAAGTAGTGATATTACTTTACTTTGATTAATATAAAGTATTATTACTAAGTTGATTAAGTATATAAATAAAGTCATATATATGTGAAATTTTTAATTGTCGCATTGCAATGATTATGACATTATAATAATCTGTCATATCATAAGAAGTAATAATAGTATTTCTTCTTAATATTAATAAATTAATAAGCATATTAATAGCAATTTAAGGTAACTTAATATATTCTAGAGCATACTTTAAATAATGTAAATTGACTCTATTATATGTTTTAGAAAAGTCTTAAAGTAAAATTTAGATTTCTTTATTATTTTCTTTTATATCTTCTAAGAGTATGTTTAATATTTTTATTGGTGATTCAATCAAACTACTAAACAGTCTTGTAAAATTGTCCCTTTTAAGAATATTATATTTGTTAATAAGTTTTGATAGTTTATTGTTAATGATTTTGACTAGATCTTTTCTAGCTATTTCTAATAAAGTTATGGATTTAGTTTTAGTGATATTATAATTCTACTTCATTGATTTAGAAATTAGGTAAATGTAAGCTACTTTCCATTATTCAGATATATTACTAAGTCAGAAGTATATACAAATTAGTTAGCATAGGATGTAACATATTTTAGAGTTAATATGTATTAATATTTATCGATAATACCTGAAGGACCAGTAGCTTTATTGTTAAAAAGTTATTTAATAGTAACCAATCATTCATCATATATAAAAAGTTGTAATAAGTTTTATATCACTGGTTGTTTATATAATTTAATCAATATTACACTTTTCATTTTCAAAATATATGTTTTGTAGTAGTAGAAGAAAGTAAATTTTTTTCATTTCTATTAGAATTTTCTACAAGAAGTTAATTTAAAACTATAGTTCTTTTACTTTTATCTAAAATAAAGTCAATTAATTATTTTTGACATATTTAAAAATAAATTATCATATTTTTTATCAATTAGAAGCTGAATAGCTTTCTCTTTTAATTTTCTAATTTCTATTTAAATTAAGATGAGGAAGACTAGTGAATCTCTTTAATTTATACTTTAACTAGTAAATATTATTATAGTTAAATAGAAGGATAAAGATGACTGATAGAAGTTTTGATTTTTTAACAATTTTAGTGATGCAAACAATCATATTATTCTATATATCCAATTTTGATTATAGATCTTATTCAATCAGTTTATTCTTGAAAAGTAAGAGAACTGAAAAAATTCTTTTTATAATATAATATAAGTTAGAATATTTATAAGATTACTTTATTTTCTACATTGGTATAATCTATACTTGAAATTTTTCTTAAACCAATTTGTATCATTTGACTAGTGCTAGTAAATGAGTGATTGATAGTTAATTATTATTTAAACAAATTATGTGTTCAAAAAAAATTGAATTTGACTGAGATATGTATCAATTAACCTATCATCTTATATAAATCAAGCTAATATATATGATAACTTTTCATAACAGATTACTTAAACAGAACTATATATATCTGCATCAATTCTTAGTCTTCCATATTATACTATTTTAGAGTTTACTACAGTATCATTACTTAGACCTATTAAAGATGAGATAGAGATAAAATAATCATTATACAGATTATTATAAAATTATCTAAGATGTTTTTCAGAAGATCTATTATTTGGTAAGGTTTCATTAATACCCTAGGGAAAGGTTCTGTTTCAGAAGCTGATTTGTCATCAATAATATAAAGTCTGATATTCATTACTTAAAAATTATCAAGTGCAGCTAAGCTACTAGTAGATTTTTAAGGTTTTATAATATTTAGGAAGAAGGACAGGAGTTCATTATCGCAATTTGAATGAAAATATTTGAGAAAGAAATTTTTGTTTATAATTCTTAGAAGTTTAAGTTTAATATTATGATTACTGTTATTATAAGAATCTATATATTTTACAAAGGAATAGTTAATTTATTATTACAACAGTACAATTTTTAAATCAGAAAAATTAATTAATTTACATATCTAGAATTCTATTCATCCGTTCAAAATTAAAATATCTAAAGATAAAGAGCTATAATCTAACATACATTCATATATATGAAGATATAAATGCAGATTCAGGCTTATTTTTTCTTGTCCGTATTTTTTTTCAATTAAAATGTTCATATTTAATAGTTTTATAAATGCTTCATTTAAATTACTTTTTGTAATTATTAACTTGTTAAGATTTTACAGGCATGCACAAAGTATGTAAGAATCTTTTTATCAGTATCTTCTAAGAAGTCCTATATAATAGGTATTGCAAAAATTAGTGTAAAGGTTTTTCACATATCTGCTGTGAAGTTTGAAAATCCTTCATCTATAGTTATTCTAATAAAGTAGCATCTAAGATTACTTGAGAACTTTATCTTGTCAGCTCGTTATTACATTATTTTAAGTTTATCCTCATTTAATATACCTTCACTAATCTAAAGTTTTGTGACTATCTATTTCATTATATTGAAGAAAAGGCAATGCATTGGATCAATAATGGAAAAACGAATTAAATTGAAATAAAGTAGTCAATATATCTCTGACCAATAAACATAATTTTAAAAAACATGATTTCTTCATGATTTTTCTATTATACAATTTTTTCACTCACTTATCTTTATCCTAATTATATCAATATTCTGCTCAATGAACTAATCGTCAAAATTTCAAATCCTCTAAAATTTAGTTATTTATTCATAAAATTAACCAATTTATAGTATTAGTAATACATAACGTGAGCAGAGATAAAGCCACATAACTTTTTAGTAAGTCACTAGAATAATAAATTACTGCATCACAAACAAAACAAACATTGTTATATTCATGTATTTTTATATTATAACCATCCATAACTAATTTAATTAGTTTATAATTAGATATAAATAATTGTTGATTTCTTGTAGCTTTGGTTCATTTGGACAAGGTATTACCACTAGTATAAGAATATTATAGGGCTTGAAACGTTTACTATATGGCAAATTACAAATAACAGTATATATCACACAAACAGAATACTGAGACTATTTGAAGGGCTGAAACTAATCTATATTAATCATCAATTTAATATGAGAATCGGCATATTCTTCTATAAAAAAAGGTTCTGCTTAGTCATCTGTAATTCTTTTCAGATCCTACCATTATAGTAGGATATCTAGGATAGGTTAGCGTGATAGCCCAAAAATTACATGTGATTTTACGATTTTATCACAAAAAAATCGTAACTATAATTCTAACTGAAATTTTATAATTTTTAGTA